TTTTTGAGACTGGGTCTTGCTGTTGTTGTCCAGGCTGGAGTACGGTGGCACAATTATGGCTCACTGCAGCCTCAACCTTCTGGGCTCAGGCGGCCCTCCCACCTCAGCTTCCCAAGTTGCTGGGACACAGATGCCCAGCTAACTTTTTAATTTTTGTAGAGATGGGGGTCTCACTATGTTGACCAGGTTAGTCTCAAATTCCTGGGCTCCAGCGATACCAGCCTCCCAAAGTGCTGGGATTATAGGTGTGGGCCACTATGTGCAGCCCAATTCTTTTTTTTTTTTCTCAAGCAGGGACAGAGATGTTTCCAATTCAGTTTCCATTGTAGATGGGCAGATTTTCCCGCTGCCTTTTCATGGTGCCAAAGGTGCTGAGCTACCTGCCTTCGTAGAAAGGCCCTGGTTTTGTTTCTGCACTTTGTATGCTCAAAACCAAGTCTCACATTGCCCCTGGAGGCAGTCAATCCCTCCAGCTCTTGAGTTCGTGGAATGTCCTATCTATCTATGACCTCAGCAATGCAGTTAAAAAAGTACATTCAGGGCCGGGTGCAGTGGCTCACGCCTGTAATCCCAGTGCTTTGGGAGGCCGAGGTGGGTGGATCACAAGGTCAGGAGTTCGAGACCAGCAGCATGGTGAAACCCCATCTCTACTAAAAATACAAAAAAAGCCAGGTGTGGTGGCACACACCTGTAATCCCAGCTACTTGGGAGGCTGAGGCAGGAGAATCATCTGAACGCGGGAGGCGGAGGTTGCATTGAGTGGAGATCACATCATTGCACTCCGGCCTGGGCAACAGAGTGAGACTCCATCTCAAAAAAAAAAAAAGTACATTCATTATAATTTATCTAGCATCTGGGTGTTTTGCAGTCATGAAAAGATTTTCAGTCTGCCTTTTTTTTTTTTTTTTTTTTGAGACGGAGTCTCACTCTGTCACCTAGGCTGGAGTGCAGTGTTGTGATCTTAGCTCACTGCAACCACCGCCTCCCTGGTTCAAGAGATTCACCTGCCTCAGCCTTCTGAGTAGCTGGAACTACAGGTGTGTGCCACCACCCCTGGCTAATTTTTTGTATTTTTAGTAGAGACGAGGTTTCACCGTTTTAGCCAGGCTGGTCTTGATCTTCTGACCTCCTGATCTGCCTGCCTCAGCCTCCCAAAGTGCTGGGATTACAAGAGTGAACCACCGTGCCCGGCTCCCGCCTGCCATGTCTATGGCACATAGCTTTCCACCAACTTAGTGCAAGGCTGACAGTCCCATGGCTGAGATCTTGTCATTGTTCTAGGTGGGAGGATTGCAGTGCGGCCCAGAAAGGTTTGCAGTTGGCACCACCTGCATCAAAGATCATAGAGCCAAGCCGCAGGCCACAGGCCAGCCGTTCTCCCTTTGCATTTGAGAGGACTGTGAAGCTGGTGCTGCCAATCAGCCTCTTGAGCAAGGCTGCTCAGGAGAGGTGGGCCTCAGGCAGAGAGCACAGATGGGTATTCGCGTGACAGAAGTGAGGCCTCAGCTCACCAGCTGGTAAACTGGCCTGGCAGCTTGAGATTCCACGTACAGGTGTGCCTGTACCAGGCTTAGGGCCATGGAAAGTACCACAAAGGGCTGCTGGAAGGAACGGTGGGCTTTTAGGGAGAGTAGTTTGAACACTTCAAGGGTCCAAGAAATGTTCAGTATCAAAAATTCCACTTTGGGAAATTATCCTAAGGAAATAAATCATGCAAAGGAAGAACGTGCATAGGAGATGTCGTACCAGAAAACTCGAACGCGATCCAATTGCCCAATAGGAGGTGAAGAGTTAAAAAATAGTGCCACTGCACTCCAGCCTGGGCAGTAGACACCCTCCCCTCCACCAAAAAAAATCACTTGAGAAGGAGTAACGAGGAGTGTCGTCTGAAAGCTGATGTTGGCCCTGACCACAGGCCCACCGGTGGGCTCTAAAAGCCAGCCTGGTTGGACCTCGTCCCCACAGGGCAGTGACCAGCTGCTGCAGCTGGCTTCCCAGAGGGGACAGCTCCAGGTCCGTGGGGTGCAAGGACCTCCTGCTTCATTTCCTTGGGTGCTCTTCAGGTCACGACTAGAACCAGTTGGGGCCGCTCTCTCCCGCTTCCTCAAGAATTTGGGAATTAGGGCAAGGCTAGTGTAGGGACCACCTTCCCTCCCAGTTCCATTCCAGCTTGAGGCAGAAAAGGAATATAGCCTTTTTATTGACTACTTTAAGTAGAACAAACTAGATACATATTTAACAGTTTTGGTTCGTTTATACAGTACATTAAATAAGTTATGCACAGAGTTAAGTAACAAAAGTTCCTATCGGAGTAAAATGACAAAGCACAGAAAAACCAGACTCTAACGCGTTCTGTGGGTGGTTTCACATTCGTCATCCCCCTTTAAAAACCACGCATCGAGGCTTCGTTTTCCATTTATTTACATTGATTTTCTTTTATGAGTGGAGCCTTTGTAGCCTCGTCAGGAACTTGGAAAGCCACGTTAAGGGTACTGAAGGCCTCTCAGCCCAGCAGCCCTTTCAATCATTTGCCTAATACTTATTGCTGCGTCTCTGCCGACTCCAAGGTAGGGACAGGCTGTCCCTGACAGACTCCAGCGCACATGCCCTATTTGGTATAAGCATCACTGAGTGTACACTGGGCAGCCGTAGGCCCGACCAGATGGGGTCTGTGAGGGAAATTCCACGTCTCGGGCTGTGGAGGGGGAGGAGGGGACCTAAGACCCACCCCTCAGGCCTCCTAACCTTCTCCTGGCTCACGATGGAAAAGGTCACCTGCACTATCATCTTTGGAAATGAGCATGTCAATGCCCGAGGGCAAAGAGGCAGGTAGTCAATGTTTTGGTTTACAAGAACTACAGACACTCCAGAGTTGGAAGGGTCCTGTGAAGCCGCTGGTGCAGCCCCTGCCAGAATCTGGGCAGGGCTGCTCTCGACAGCTGGCCATCTGGCCCGTGCTCAACAGTCCACGCTCCATTGGCTCTTCTTCCATTTGATTCAGTCTTGCTACCACCCAGTTCTCTGCAAACAGCTTAAAAAAAAAAGTAATAATCTAAGGAGGTTGGCTTGGTCTTCTGACCTGGGAGCCTGGAAACCTTGTTTCTAGTTCAGTTCTGAAGAAAGCCTCCATGAAGCGTTCTATTTTCAGTGATGTATTCAATTCATAATCCTTTCTACGATTTCCAGGACAGATGGCCGTCCAGTCATTCTGAAAAGCTCACTGCCAAACGATTCCAGCTGTGTTGAACCTTCAAATGCACTTGCCGAGATATCCTCTAGAACTACCCAGAACGTCTATACTCTTTGCAAGCAGGTGATGAGGCTGAGGCTCACTAACTCTGGAACAGGGCTGTACAAAGCAGAGTGGATTTTCTGTCTGGAAGCTGGAGCTGTCAAGTTGACACCAGTAAGAACTCCTGATGACCTTCTGGTCCCAATGGGTAAAGGAAGTCCACGCTGCAAAGAGCGGGCAGCAGCTGAGGCCAGGTGTGGACTTGTGGTGGGAAGATGTGTCCTGTTTCCAGACTCAGACCCACTGACAGATGAACCCAGCACTGCCCTAGAAGTAATCCACCTGATCTGTGACCACATGGTCACCCAACTGGGCCTGAGCGGATCTGCTAGAGCACCAGCCCCGGAACTGCAGGGCCCAGTGTGGAGTGCCCCCACCTCCTGAGGTGGACTGCCTGGCCTGGGCTTAAACTTCTTGAGTCACCTTTACTGCTGGATAGTCAGGCATGATGCAGGCAAGTGGGGACCCCCCCAAAAAAAAAAAATCAAAGATGTGAAACCCAGCCCTCAAAACACTTGGGACATTTGGCATCTTTGGTCTTCTCTGGTTCCTGCAGTAATTCCTCACTTGGCAGGAGACCATGATGTCCCAGAACACATCAGTGCCGTTGGCGGGAGACGCTAAGCACTGGTCTCATCCTAGACATGTCTGGCTGATGGCCATTCATATGTCGCATTTGCTTTTCGGTCCAGCCCCTCTCTGCCTTTTGCCACTGCAAATATTAACCATGGAGGTCAGTTCTCTAAGTAGCCTGAACTTCCACTCCCAACCTGGTAGCTGAGGTGCTGTCAACAGAGGCTGGAAACCATGCAAGGAACCTGGACTCGCTCCTGCACCTCTAGCTGCCTGCACTGCTCCACTGGTGCTCCTCCTCCTGACCAGAGTTGAAGAATTTCAGAAAGGGATTCCTGAAATGTGAATAGGGAGTCCTGGACAGAGGCCCTCCTTACTTCTGTGTGAAACTGACCAGAATTAACACAGCCAAAGGTTTATCAATGGAGCTTCAGTGTGGAATACTGCCCGGGTTTGCAGATCAGCCTCTAGGCAGCACAGGAGCAAGATGGAAAAGCATTACAAAGACTTAGAAAACCAAACTGTCACAGGAACCACAGCCCACTAAAGTAGGCCAGGCTCTGCACACCAAACCTACGCCTTAGCTGTAGAAATGGGCACTGGGGTTGCTAAATATTATTTTGTTGGCTTTTGGCTTCTTATTCCAACCAGTAAAAGCATGTGCTACCCTGGGTAGGTTTACGGCCACTGGAGATTTTTTAAACCGGCTTAAGGTGTTCATCCAATGAATCCATGAAAAACCAGTAAGTTGGTGTAGAGGGCTTATGACCTCCTTGTCAGACAGCCAAGTCTTAGGGAAATATGGCACTGTCCGGGGTACTGACTCCATCCCCTAGTCAGGGTTCTCCACCAAGGGCTGAGGCTTAATGAGGCAGGTGGGGATGGGAGAATACCAATGTATTAGGACTGGAAAACTGTGGGTCCTGTGTGTTCCACAGCAAAGTAACATGATCCTCTGCGGTTCATTCCCTGGTCATACCTCACTTTAGGCAATGGAAATCTAGGCATTTTAAAGGTGTCATGTACTAGGTTTCTTTGTAAGACTGAAAATGCTTGGTTACAGTAAATTAGGGACTTGACATTCTTAAAGTAAGATGTAGCTGTATGCAACAAGGCTGTGTGGATCCCTTTTCCTCTACGGTACTGACAGCTTTTATTTTAGACTCTGGTCAGTGCACAGAAGGTGGAGATTCAACCTGTGTTTCAAAGGCCAGCTGGAAAAGGGCCAATCAAACTTAATCCAACTGATTCTTGGGTGTGAGAGGATGCTGGAGGCTCGAAGGTGGAGAGCAGGAGGGTCGGGGTCCTCAAGACTCCCATCAAAACCCCAAAAGACAGGCCAGGAGACCAGCCTGGCCAACATGATGAAACCCCTTCTCTACTAAAAATACAAAAATTAGCTGGGTGTGGTGGCGGGCACCTGTAATCCCAGCTACTCGGGAGGCTGAGGCAGGAGAATGGCTTGAACCTGGGAGGTGGAGGTTGCAGTGAGCCAATGTCGTGCCACTGCACTGTGTGCCACTGCACTGTGACAGAGCAGGACTTGGTTGGAAAAAAAAAAAACAAAAAAAACAAAAGAAATGTAGGAGGCAGTTCCTAACATTCTGAAAAGAGAATAGGTGATGTCCCGTTTGAAAAATTGGTCAGCTTTTCCCAAAATGGTTCTATTTCATGAAACCTTTCTGATGAGCTGTCGGATAATACAAGAGAAGGAAAGAGAAATTTCGTGCCTGATAATAAATCCACTTAGTAGGTGTAATGACCTGAAATGATGAGGTTTGAAGAATTCTTTCAGGTCCAGAAGGGCTGCTCAGATGAGACCAGGCCTTGACAGCGGGGGCGAGTCCTACCAACCTGCCACAGCATATCCAGCAGGACAACTGTGGCTCAGCAGGTACCAAATAAAGCCCACGGACAGAATATGCCCACAGCAGTCCAGATGTGTGTGGTCTGAGATAAAAGGACACATAACAAGACGACTGTGCAAACAGCCAAGTGGTGGGAGAAGGTCTGTATTTCCATGAGATGATCCACTCAGTAATTTGACGATACTAGTTTGGCCAACATGCTCAGAGAGAACAGACTATCCACAACTGAGTCTCATTCTCTCTCAGACCAATCCATGCGCTGGAAACTATTTTCTGCACAAGCAAAATCAAGAGAAAAAGACGGGTCCCAAATTAAAGTAGCCAGTAAGGCTGGAAAAGCTTGTCCAAAATCATCTGTGATGTGCGGGAAGTTTTATTTGTTTATGTTTTTGCTACTATGGGTGCTTTTATTGCAACAGTGACATCTTTCCTGTGGACTCTGAGATCGGAGCCAGTCTGAACAGCAGGGTTGAGAAGGGAGTCCTGAGTGCCGCCTGTTGCTTACCCAAGTCCCCATGAGGCCAACCAGTGTCATCTGCTGAGGGTGGAGATGGGGCTGAAGGAGCTGTTCAGGGTGAGGGGGCTTCTCCCTATCCGAGGGGCTTCCTCCACCAGCCTGCTGCCTGCCACCTCCAGCCTAGCTGGGCACATTCAAAAGTCTGCTGACTCAAGGAGATGGGGAGGGGAGCTGGTGGTCTACACTGAGAAGGAACTGGCTAAGCCAGCTTCAGTGGGGAGAGGAACAACCAGGAAAGCCATGGAGGTGGCAGTGGGGCTGGGCATGTGCAGAGAATGGCACACTGGCTCCACAGACGGCAAGTGCCCAGAGAGGCTGTGGGTGCTATTATTCAGGCTTGGACTCTTCCTGCCTCCAATTCTTGCTGATGACCCAGCAGCTACATGCATGGGTTCCTACAGCCAGTCCCTTGGTCCAAACGTTCTGTGGTACTGAGTGGCCATCAGGGTAACTAGAGTCTGGGGCTCAGAGGCCGTTGGTGTCGATGGCTGTCACGGAGGCAGGTGTTGAGGAACGTGAGGTGGTTGCCGAGGTCTTGTCCAGGGCTGGGCTGGGCACACTGCAGTCGGCGGACCTGGCAGAGGAGCCCCTGCCTACAGGAAGCAGCGGCCGGCCCTGGCCGTGGGGGCTCTGGCCATGCAGGTTCTGACCACAGAGGCGGTGGTGCCGCTCCCAGTCCTTGTGCTGGCAGAAAGAGCCGCAGTATCGTGCGATATTGCAGCCACTGCATGTCTCGCTGGCTTTGCGGCCACAGTTCCAGCAGTTCTGCAAGACACAGGTACCAGTTAGTGGTTGCTGGGATTGAGGGGCAGGCTTGGCATTCGTCCCCTGCACAGTAAAGCAAGGGGCTGCATGTAGAGAACCCCAGCTTTGGAGCTACATACACCTGTGGTCAAGTCCTCCCTCTACTGCTGTTTATGAGAAATACACACCACCTTTCTGAGTTTCCTTCATTTGTAAAATAAGAAAACTACTTACCTGCAGGATGACAGGAACAGTGAAATGAAGCATGCCTAGGACAGGTAGCCATCTCTTCTGCTTAAGGCATAGACTCATCTTTTGACCCAGATTTTAATAGTCAGAAACCAAACCAAATTCTGTGCCAGGGTCTCCCCCAATAGCCATCTATCCTAAGACCACGTGTAAAGACAAACATTTATCCTGCTCCTTTCTGCATGTGCCACCACGCCTGGCTAATTTTTGTATTTTTATATATATAAAATATATATTTACTAGAGATGGGGTTTTGCCATGTTGGCCATGCTGGTCTTGAACTCCTGGGCCTAAGTGATCTGCCTGTCTCAGCCTCCCAAAGTACTGGGATTACAGGCACCTGCCTGATACTGCACTTCTCACTAGAGAAATAATCTTTATTATTTTTACTGATAATCTGACTTAACCAAAGCTACTGCTGCTGTTTTTTTTTTACTTTCTTTTGGAGAAAGGGTCTTGCTATTGTTGTGCAGGCTGGACTTGATCTGGGCTCTAGAGATCCTCCCACACTCCCACCTTAGCCTCCTGAGTAGCTGGGACTATAGGCGTGTGCCACCATGCCTAGCTAATTCTTTAATTTTTTGTATAGACAGGGTCTCCTTATGTTGCCCAGGCTGGTCTTGAACTCCTGGCCTCCAAGGACTGTCCCACCTTGGCCTCTTAAAGAGCTGAAATTACAGGCAAGGGCTACTATGCCTGTTCCCTAGTAATTATCAGACCAATAGGATAGGAGCTGCTATACTCATTAAACAGAGATGGAGACTGACTCCTTTAAGAGTATACTGCCAGTGTGAGAGGGAAGTGGGACCAGAAGTCAGGGCTCCTAACCTCCAGTCCTGGCCTCCTTCTTCCCCCATACCAAACTACCTTTCAGAAGATGAACAAGAAACTCCAGGGATACCTGCTAAATTTCAATGAGAATATTCTGGATGAATATTCTTGATGGACGAGAATCAGCCCTTTTAGTCCAATGCAAACTCATCCAAAGGACAGGCTCTCTGTCCCTTCCCTGCTTTGAAAAGTGATTTTGCAGGGATAGGTGCTGGTGTGTACCTCACCTGGAGGCCATTTTGAGGCTTGTTTAAAATTACAATTCTTTAAAAGCACAATTCTGAAAATGGAGAGCTGGGATTTAAACCTACGCAGTCCAGACCCAGGATGTATATGCTCTTAGCCAAAAGCTATAGTTTTCCTTCGGAGACAGATAAAAACACAGAGATAAAAGTAGATAAATACAGACAAATACAGATACTGATATGGATGGCTATAGATACATAATAATTAAACACAGAAGAGAACAGATATATCACTCTCAAAAACAATTCTCTTTTTTATCTGAGGCAGTTTCATTCTTGTTGCCCATGATGGAGTGCAATGGTATGATCTTGGCTCACTGCAACCTCCACCTCCTGGGTTCAAGTGGTTGTCCTACCTCAGCCTCCCGAGTAGCTGGGATTATAGGCACCTGCCACCACACATGGCTAATTTTTTACTTTTAGTAGAGATGGGGGACTAGGCTGGTCTTGACCTCCTGACCTCAGGTGATTCGGCCGCCTCAGCCTCTCAAAGTGCTGGGATTACAGGTGTGAGCCACCGTGCCTGGCACAATTCTCTTTTCTTGAACTCCAGACCTCAGGTGATCCAACCACCTCGGCTTCCCAAAGTACTAGGATTACAGGCGTGAGTCACAGCGCCCGGCCACAATTCTCTTTTCTTCCCCCCCTCATCTTGCCATCGTCACCTTTTTTTTTTTTTTTTCTTTTTTTTTTTTTTTTTTTTAAGAGATAGAGGCTTGCTCTCTCACGCAGGCTGGAGTGCCGTGTTACGATCATGGTAGCCTTGAACCTCTTGGGCTCAAGCAATCCTCCTGTCTCAGCCTCCAAAGTAGCTGGACTATAGATGTGTGACACCATGCCCAGCCAACTGCAGAAATGGAGTCTCGCCATCTAGCCCAGGCTGGTCTTTAACTCCTGAGCTCAAGTGTTCTTACTACCTTGGCTTCCCAAAGTGCTGGGATTACAGGCGTCGGCCACTGCACCCAGCCTCAAAAAAATTCTAAAGAAAAAGGAGGAGGAGGCCGGGCGTGGTGGCTCACGCCTATAATCCCAGCACTTTGGGAGACCAAGATGGGTGGATCACAAGGTCAAGAGATCGAGACCATCCTGGCAAACATGATGAAACCCCGTCTCTACTAAAAATACAAAAATTAGCTGGGCATGGTGGCGCACACCTGTAGTCCCAGCTACTCAGGAGGCTGAGGCAGGAGATTTGCTTGAACCCAGGAGACGGAGGTTGCGGTGAGCTGAGATCATGCCATTGCACTCCAGCCTGGTAACAAGAGCGAAACACAAAAAAAAAAAAAAAAAAAAAAAAAAAAAAAAAAAAAAAAAAAAAAAAAAAAAAAGAAAAAGGAGAGAAGGAAAAGGGAGGGGGTTAAATAGACTGTTTTCTCTCTTTTTTTAAATTCATATTTTCTATAAGCAAGAGACTGTTTTCTCACAACCCACAGTATCTATATTGAATAGCTATAGTAAGTTACTTCACCACACCCTCGGTGATCCCCACATGGTATTTAGGCATTTTCATCTGCACACTGCTATGCCTGACAGTAAGACACTGAAATGGACAATATAAATGACAAGAAAATAACATTTCTACGGTTTGTTTAAAAGAAAAAGTCCTTCTATAATCCCAGCACTTTGGGAGTCCAAGGCGGGTAGATCACTTCAGGACAGGAGTTCGAGACCAGCCTGGCCAACATGGCAAAAACCCGTCTCTACTAAAAATATGAAAATGAGCAGGGCATGGTGGCACACACCTGTAGTCCCAGCTACTCAGGAGGCTGAGGTGGGAAAATCACTTGAACCCAGAGGTGGAGGCTGCAGTGGGCCGAGACTGCACCACTGCACTCCACCCTGGGTTAAGAGTGAGTTCTTAACTTCAAGAGAATGTCCCAAAGACAGCCGGTCTCCCATCCAGTAGATGAGATCTACCTACTTACAGAAAGAAACTTGTTTCTTGTTTTAAAGCTAAAAAATGACTAAAATGAAAGTTATAGAAAAACAGCATTAAATTTGAAAGGGCTGCTCGAATGTTTTGGTACAAGTTTCTTCGTTTCAGTTTGTGATTTTTCTCCTCACTGTAGTATCCAAGTGTCCTGTACAGAATCATCACCAAGTCCTGGGCAATCAGGCAGATATACCCAACCTGTTACTTCAGTCCACAAGCCAGCTATCCTATTTCTAAAAATTCTAGATGCTAAAGGACCCTGCACTTTCTTACTCCTCTACCCTGACTTCAGCACTGAGGGAGTATATCAGTTACATGCCCTGAGCCACAGTCTCCTCATCTGTGAGTTAGAGATTCAACATTATCCACCTCATAGGGCCAATGTGACACTCAAAAAGAAAATATGCAACTTCGCTGTGTGTCTGGCACACAGTAAGCTAACTTTGTCAATGCTGGTCATCATCATCATTGTGCAATTACACAAACTCTGTCTTTAGGGTGAATTCCCAAAATTTTAACCAATACACTGAGCCTCTCTCTCTATATACATGTGTATGTGTGTAAAAATATGATGTAATAATTTATGATCTTGGCACGTAAAATAGTCTTAATGTGAGAACCAAAACTCTTCTGGCACTGGATAAAAATTATCATCTTCGAGCTCAAGAACAGACTGCCTGTGTCTTCCTGCTCAGCGTATAGGGCAGCGGGCGTGGTCACTCCAGCTGCCTGCCCCGGCCCCTAGCGCTAACAGAGCTCTGACCTCTGTGGACTCCTCTTGCTCGTTGATGACGAGGAAAGCGTCCTCCGCGGCCTGTCGCTTGACGTCCGCTATGGTTTGCTCCATTCGTGCTCTCTCTGTTGCAATCACTTCAAAGGCTTTCTGCTCTGCTTCAGCGACAGCCTTCTGTACTTCTGACATGGCCTGAATTTTCACCTTATTCACAGCTTCTTCTAGAAGAAAGTGACAGTAAAATCAACTGGCCGAGAAATCTTTTCCCTCCCACCCCACAGCATTTCTAAGAAAGGACAGAGCTGACATAAAATGATCTTTTCTAAAACTACACAGGGAGGAATACATGATATTCATAGTCATGCATCCATCCATGTAGGTGCTGGCTGGGTACGTGGATGGAGGTGGCCACTGAGCTAGGACTATGGACATGGGTCACTAGACACAGGCCACACTCATGACATGTTATGTCACTATAAGAGAATAGAGTTCCAAGGAGAAAAGTGATCAGCACTTCAGTGGGCAGGGGAGAATCAAGACAATGTATTTTGGTTGAGATGGTGGATGGAAATGAGTTTGCAAAGTCTTGCGTGCCAGACTAAGAAATTTGACCTTCGTTTTTTTTTTTGTTGAAAACAGGGCCTTGCTCTGTTGCACAGGCTGGAGTGCACAGCCGTGATCACAGCAAACTATAGCCTTGACCTCTGAAACATGATCCTCCCACCTCGGCCTTCTGAGTAACTAGGGCTACAGGCATGTCCCACCATACTCCACTAATTTTTAAATTTTTTTGTAGAGATGAGGTCTCACTATGTTGCTCAGGCTGGTCTAGAACTCCTGGGCTCAAGTGATCCTCCAACTTGAGGCTCCCAAAGTGTTGGTGTTAAAGTGTTATAGGAGTGAGGCACCCTGCCCAGCTTGACCTTATTTTCTAAAGGAAACTTCACAAAGGATTCTATGCAAGGGAAGATTAAAGACAGAGATAGCAACTGGGAGGCTGGTGCAATGATTAAACTGATAGAAGAGGCTGCATTTAAGCAGGAGTCAGTGGCACTGAGGAAGGGATGAGGCAGAAAAAGGTTGGGAGCACCGAGGGGCCTGGATGCGGAGGTGAAAGCGAAGAATGGCAGTGCTAGGCAAATGAACTGGAGAGTCCACACAAAGCTAGTGTGGAGGCAAGTGAGAAAGCGGAGGTGCCTCCAGAGCATCTAGGTGAAAATGGCTGGGAGGAAATTAAATAATGCTAAGAGGCCCGCAGCCACCACTCCCCTCCCTCCAATCCCTGCCAAAAAATAAAAAGGAAAAGACTAGGTGGAGAAACATGGGCTAAAACATAGATTTGAGCAGACTGCCAGGAGCCCTCGACTTTTAAGTCCTGTCCACTTACCATCATCCTACCTGGTTCCTGATCACTTCCTTCCATCACCAATGCCCTGGCTTGATTTCCCTAGTGTAGATACCGCAAATAACACGTTCATGTGTTTGAGCCTCAGCCCAATGAGAATGTGAATGTTTAGTCCTGAGTCCACAAGATCAGACAATACAGAAGCCTAAGGAAACTCCCTCACGGTTTACCTCTTGCACATGGCACAGGCTCAAGGGAGGTTCAAACACAGAATTCCAGGCTGCCATGAAACAACCTTCCATCTGATGGCTCTGGCCTTAAGGAGAGAAAGTCTCCACCCCAGAGGCCAAGAAACCTCCTTAGGTGTCTTATTAGATCCCTCTTATTGAGCCAGCGTTAACAGTGCTCTCAGGTACATTTTAACTCCTCAGCTTAAGCATGAATTAGTAATCATCTCACTTTGGCTAGATATCATGCTGGAGGTCATCTAAGGTCATAGATGGCACTGAAGCAGAACAAGGACTCAAATTTAGCTGACCAGCACCAAAGTTGGGCCCTTAACCAAAGTTAACCAAAAGTATCTCCCAAGTAATCAATGTCACTAGCTTTTTTTTCCCCCCAGTGCTTTTTCAACATGAATAAAGTCACTAGTTTTAAAGAGATCTTGTGGCCAGGCATGGTGGCTCACGCCTGTAATCCTAGCACTTTGGGAGGCCAAGGCAGGTGGATCATCTGAGGTTAGGAGTTTGAAATCAGCCTAACACTGTGAAACCCCATCTCTACTAAAAATACAAAAATCAGCTGGGCATGGTGGTGGGTGCCTATAATCCCAGCTACTTGGGAGGCTAAGGCAGGACAGTCACTTGAACCTGGGATATTGTGAAACTGTACTCCCGCCTGGGTGGTGAAGCAGAGATACATCTCAAAAAAAAAAAGAGAGAGAGATTTTGTGTATAGTAATTGTTCTCTCCACCTTATGATGATCTTCATTTCCCAAAATTTTATCCCACTTCTTGTTAACATAATATACATTTTCCCATTGTCAACTGCAAGGATTTTTACAAGTCACATGCAGTTTTCCAAATTGTTTTTAATGGTGAAATAATACTTTGTTGTGCAGCAACACAGGGGCTCACTACAGCCTTGACTTCCTGTGCTCAAGCGATCCTTCTGCCTCAGCACCCCAAGCAGCTAGGTCTGCCAACCTTGGCCTCCCACAGTGCTGGGATTACAGGTGTGAGCCACCACACCCCACTCACACTGTTGCTTCTTTAATACTTTGTGTTTAAGTCTACTCCATTTTTGAAAGGGAACATTCAAAGGCATGAAAGTGAGGAAAGACTCCAAGAATTTGCAGGTACTCCGTTAATTTCTTACATAAGCCTCTGATCAATTATTGAGTGTCATCAACAAGGTCTAAAATTGTCAATAACCGAGGGCTAATTTATCAGAGATGCTTTATCTTACATTATCTTGACTACTAGTAAGGAAAAATATTTTGCAATGTTTATTTGTATTTCTCATAGTATAATGTGTCTGTTCATATCTTTATTTACTACTGTCTTGATGCTATTAAAACAGTCTTTATGAATGTAGGTATCACATTTTTATAGAAAATAAATTTTATCGTAGTAAAAAAACAAAAATTGTATTGGACTTAAAAAAATGAAACTAGGATGGGGAGGCAAGAAGGAAAAGAATCCTAGTATCTGGATAAGGCTGACGTTAGAGATGTGACGTTCATCCCTGAACTTATAGAATAGGCTGTCCCCACCCTTCTTATTCTTGTTAAAAGGAGGCCTACCAAGAACAGCTATGACTATGGTGGCACGGTGAAGGTGAAAGAAAGCACAGGGGAATTACAGAGCTGTGCCTAGAGCAGAATTTGGGCACAAATGTGGCAGCAGTGTGAACACAGTGTATTGTAGGTGCCAGTGAAGAGATCAGGCAAAATGAACTCTGCCACTGGCCCAGAAACAGGGCATGCCGACAGGTACTTATTACCTCGGCATGACCCAGTAGAAGAGTGTGAAAGGGACTGGAGGGAGCTATTCCAAACTCATGACCTGCAAAGTAACAAAACAGGAAGTCGGGGAGACATGCAGGACAAGCCAGGGTCGGACAGGCAGGAGCCTAGAGCTCTGAGGAGCAGGTTATTACACAACCAAAAGACTCAGTTACCAACCATCCGCCCAGTTATCTGTTCTCTGCTCCCACAAATTAGTGAGTACACATGATTTACGAGCAGTAAGACACATACCTGTTTTTTTCCAAAACTCCACAGGTACGTATCCTGTACCTGGCCTGCTGTTGAATTCTCTCTGAGAATCTGCAGAAGAGACATAAAAAGCATAAGGTCAGAAGCTGTCTATGATCAGCAGTTTTATTTTTGATCAGATTTCTCATTAACCACTTAGACTCAAACATACATTTCATTTAGTTTTAAAAAAAACTCTCATATAAGGGCTAAAAATCAGATTATAACATAGTACAGTAAATATTTAGTTTTAAAACACACCCCTCCATCAAATTAACAGCATTTCAAAGTGGTGAGATTAAAAGTGATCCTCACTTTCTTCTTTTTATTTACATATTATGTCCTAATTTTCTCCCCTATAAACATGTATGTGTTTTTAAGGTACAGTACTCCCTAAAATATAAATGTATAAACGTTAAGTGCACACAGATTTTTTTGTTGTTGTTTTTTTGAGACAGAGTCTTGCTCTGTTGCCCAAGCTGGAGTGTAGTGGTGCGATCTCGGCTCAGTGCAACTTCTGCCTCCTGGGTTCAAGTGATTCTCCTGCCTCAGTCTCCCAGGTAGCTGGGACTACAGGTGCACACCACCATGCCTGGCTAATTTTTGTACTTTTAGTACTTTTAGTAGAGATGGGGTTTCATCATATTGGCCAGGCTGGTCTTGACCTCCTGACCTCAAGTGATCCACTGTGCCTGGCCTGTGCACACAGATATTTATATGCATGTGTGTGTATGTCCATATCTAATTCAACAGTCCCCACCATGCACAGGTTTCTGGCACTGCCCTGCATATGTGTCAGGGAATATAGCTTTTGTCTTTGGCAATTCTGAATCCTTACATGTGATTTAAGGAAGTTTCCATTAAAGTGTCTTAGCTTATGAACTGAACTAAGAAGAAAAAAAAAAGTGGTTTTAAAAAAATAAAGAGAAAACTATAGTATTAAACTATCAAA